ACATGAGTGAGCTTGGAGTGGTGACAACTTTACAACACACACAGGGACCATGGGGAACAAAAGTAGCCACCCTCCAGAAGGAAGGAAGGACGGTGCCGGCACCAATTCAGAGATGATTTGAGGATCTACAGCTGATTGATACACAAATAAGATACATTTATGTTAATAGTTAAGGTACTTGAATGCATTTTTAAGATTTAACTCCCGAGTTTAGTGTCACTTTAAGTAACAGTATAATATACAATAAACTGACCTCTCTTAGCTGTAGTGATACAAATATACAGGTTAATAAGATTAAAAAATCTTCTTTATCTTTTCCTGCTGCTTTGTGATCCTTCAAGGTTTGATTTTTCACATAACATGGTCTTAGGAAATAGACTCAATCTACTTCACCACAGTGCTAAGCTACAGGAAGCACAAGCTTGGACACCAGCGGCCCTGCTAGAAATTGATAATTACCCAGGATTCTTTGGTTCACCATCTCGTGAACTGCCTCCTTTCAGCTTCCTGACCAGCTTCTCACTGCTGCGTCTTATGGAAGCACGGAGTTTGCTAAAGGACCCGCTGCGTTTTAAAGATCCAGTGCCATCCTAGAACAAAAGGTTAACAGGGCATGAATATAAATTCGGATCTGGGCAAGTAGTGCTGGCAAAACCACAATAACCGCTTATAAAAAAATATGTATGCTTTTTATTTACCTAAGCTTTTGTGGCCAATCTGGTAGCTACCAGAATAATGGATTTGCACATCTATCTATGTACCCATCTAAAAAATGTTACCTGGGCAGTTTGATCATGTCCAGGCACGACAACAAATTTTTTTTGACAGATGTGTAGATAGTTACATTTTTATCACTGCATAACACAAAATCAACCCCTGCACCGTTCAAGGGAAAATCTTGGTGAATCCTGGAAAAATCGTACATGGAACGATTACATGCGGTTTAGAATAGAGGATTGCCACTGGACGCATCAATTCAGCATCCAGCAAAAGTTATCTATCCGAAACCGCATGTATTGGTATCATGTACGATTACCTGCAGACTGCCACTGACGGATGCGGCCGTAGCCACACTGTTATTTACTTCAAAGGGTACAGCGGCTGCATCAGAATGAGGACACCAGGGATTCGTGCTGCAAGAATCTGTAGATTCTTATGGCAGGAATCCCAGAATGCCCAGTGTGAATGGAGCCTTAGTACAGACAGCTGAAAGAGGAAGTGCTGTTATTAGCAGGCTCTCCAGGTAAGGCACCCTTTAGTGCTGCCTACATGTACAAAGTCCTAGGCTTTTGATGTATGCTGATCGCAACAATTTCAGATTGGCTGATCCTCTTTACTAGATATCACATGAAAAAGTGGATAGGCCAAGGGTAGTCAACCTTGGCACTACAGATGTGGTGAACCTACAAATCTCATCATGCCTTTGACTGTGGGAGTCAAGCCTGTGGCTCTCAACGTCTTGTAATGCCTCACAGGGCTTGTAGTTCCACAATAGCTGGAGTGCAGAGGTTGCCTACCCCTGGACCAGGCCGTCACAGATCTGGCCAGCACTGGAAGAGGCCTGGTGCAGCAAGCGTTTTAGTGCTTGCTTTAGCACTCATTTAGCCACCGTCTAATTAATAATGTAGCTGTTTGTTAGGATTTGAGTACAGGTCCACTTAAATGCACCTGACACCAAATTCCAAGCAGTGCAAGCAGAGGATAATGACAGAAATATCATAGGCTTAACATTACAGCTGTAATAAGCAGCATCATTTTACACTCAACCTGTACCTCCACCCAAAAAAACAAACAGTTGTTTTCAATATGATTAAAATGCACACAAAAAGTTATTGTCAACCAGCAATGGACTGAAAACATACCACATCCATATACCTTGTTATTGCGACTCTATAGATGTTGCTTATGTTCAGATATATTGGGTATTATTCTAAACCCAATCCGGACTTGACCATTATTAACTTCTAAGGTCTACAATCACAGCCTCATCATAGGTTCCCTTTAAATAAAAAAAAGTGGATACCCCCTTTATGGAGAGACTTAACCAGTGATGGTCTCTTCCCCATCAGCCACTCAGCTGGTAAAGAAAACTTGTCATGAGGAAAACATGGAGGTTACCATCCCTGAAAATAACAGTCTTCTGGTTGCCATGCTGACATTCTGGCGTCAATATTCTGAAGAGGTATGGAGATAAAATGTCAGACTTTTCTCTGTTCTTGAGAGGCTGTAAAAAATCTGCACTCCGAGTGACCAAGGACCTCATTGTTCAGCACAAGTCCCTCCACATTGGGACCTCCAGGTTGAAGCCTGCATCACCCCCAACTTCCTGAAGCCTTTATGCAGAGATCCAGACGTGTAGATGCATATAGAATTAAGCATCATCGTAGTCCAGTCTAGGAACCAGCAGGGAAGTTTGAAGAGCCATTGATCATGTGCTTCCACCGACAACGGGAGAATGCTTAAAAGTTAAACTAAGAAGCTGTAATTGGTTTTTCGACACATTACCTACTGGATCCTGGGCTTCCTGCAGAACTGATAATACATTGGGATTGATTTATTAAAGGATTAGAAAAGGTCTAGGGTAGTGTATGAGGTAGAGCTGTGCTCACTTCAAATACCCAATCAGGTACCAATGAAAATCCATTAAGAAAAATAAAAAAAACATTTCCTAGAACAGGAATGGGTATTCTTTGCAAATTGATATACAAAGCGAAGTGAAAAAGAGGATTTTTGTACTCACAGCAAAATCCTTTTCTCTGCGTTCATTGAAGGACACAGTGGAGATCTTGAATCTCTTACCAATGGGTATATAGATGGCGCCATGTGCCCATTGGTAAAAAAATTCAAGATCTCCACCGTGTCCTTCAATGAACGAAAGAGAAAATCACTTTTCCAAGTGATCAAGCTTTACTCCTTTAGTAAAACAACCCCATTGTTACATAAGTGAAAGCTCCTTTTTTGGCTTAATTAGATTTATACATTTTTCAAAACATCATTTACATTACTAATAAAATTTCAAGGTAACATTTTCTGGGAGAAATATGTTGGCTGCCACAGCTAATGACCTGAAAATACGAATTGCCTTGTTGCTTTGCTTTCATTGGCTTCAATACGATTGGTCTGTAACCAAGCAACAGCATGCAGAAAGATAAGTCGCAATATAGTCAGGGTCTGCATGTCTCTGTGCCTGGGATGTCCAATGTATTGAAGTCTTTAAAAAATTTAATTATATTTTTTTATATATCTATCTATCTATCTATCTCTATTTTATTTTTATTTTTAAAAATTTATTTTTTTAATATA